GGGAAAGAGGGAGACAACTGGAAAACTTCAGAAGGAGCTGTTGCAGCAAATCCTGACACCGAATCCTAAGAGAAATTTACCATATCATGCCAGCTGCCTTACATTTAAGGAGCTTTGGCTAGGGTGTTATGATTAAAACGTTAATTCCTTCAAGCCTGCTCACTTCCACCACAGGAGGCATATATCTTGATTGAAGCGTTAAAACTATACACATGGCTAGATTCTGATGTCAGGCTCGCAGTAATGCCACCAACTACTTCTGACTTCACATCATCGTAAGTAAAAGCAGAACCATGTTCTGTAGTTCAGTTACACTCTGCCTGTTTCCTGCTGGGAATGAACATCTGTGTTTCGCCCTCTGCAAACTCTGCTTCCGGCAACAGACCCCCAGCTACAGGACTTGATGCTGCTCCTTCATCTGAACCTATTAGCAATTTGTGGTTTTATTACTTGCTAACATTAAAAGCGCACCTCAACCACACCTTCTACACATATATCTTTTCCTCTGACTGCATGAAGGTACGCAATTTTTTTTCTGGACCAACCTGACGTGTGAAACTGTCTCCACAACAATTTCAGACAGCAAGGATCTGAGAAGTGTTTCTGTTCTCTCACTCCAACAAAAAAATCTAGCTAATACCACTGTGGTAACAGTTAAGTGCAGCAGTCATTAATCTGGATAAAGTGATTTTTCACATAAATTGCCTTCTCTCTTCTTAAAGTTTCAGAGGCAAAAAGAAAATACATCACTGAAACAAATGGATGCTAGGACAAATGAGCAGACGGAAATACAGAAGAGAGCAAGCAGGGCTAAAGCAAGGGCATGTCAGAAAGGAATTGAGCACAGACCTGCTTACAAAAAAAGATGTCCTAAAAAAAAAAAAGTGCAGTTATTACCCTGACACTTTGCATATCCTTTTCATAGTTTCAAAACAAGGCAACCTACCTCTCTGCTTTCTATATATACCCTGGAAGCAACTTTGTCTCTGAGCTCACACTGAAACTAACTTCACTTGATGAAAACATGCTTAAATTATGCAGGTTATTTTTAAGTCACTCATTTACTTGAGTTTGGGCGTAAAATACCTGTCTGTTCAGAAGTCCCAAAGCCTCTGCATTCATCTAGGACTGTAGGTGCAACATTTATCTCTTAGTGGAACGCAAGTGCTATTTGCAGTCAAGAACAGTATTTGAATTCAAACTGAACTTCAAGTTAGAAAATGCATCCAGAACTGTGTCTCCTGACTGACTTTCCTTATCTTACAAAGCAAATGCTTTAAAACTAAAGACATTCATCCACCCCCCTGGAAAGAGGTACCCCTGGTTCAGGCTGACAAAGCCAGATTTTCAACCCTCAGCATTCACTTGAGCATTTGAAAAAACTTTATGCAAGTGCATAGGTCCAAACCTCTCCAGGTACCAAATATTAAGAGCGCATGCTCCAAGGCTTCTATTGGTTTCTCTACTGCCCATGGAGCAGAGGTTAGAGATTCCTTTGTCAGGAAAAGGCAAAGTATTGCAGTTGTATTAGGTCCAATATCACTCCAAGGTACCTGCACAGCTTCTGGACCCAAAGGGCTTAGCAGGGACAACACAGCCTATGCAGAGGCTGCAGACAGCGAGTCACACCAGCACAAACAGGAAACACATGGCTTGAGGTGAAGCAAATAAGCTCAGTAGGAGCCATGCTTTGTGGTGGTGATGTCAGTGTGGGTGACTGGAGAAGAGGCGCCAGTAGCACAAGAGGTGGGAAATGAGGGGGACACAGGATGGGTCTGGAAAACAGGTTATGCAAGTACGAGCGAGGGGAGCATATGAGGAAACAGCAATTGGGGGCTGGGGGGGCAGACAGAAAGAAGAGCAAGGAGAGAGGGAAGTAGTAGCAGTGAGGCTTACCTAAAAAAAACATTAAGGACCTCTAGTCTAGAAGGTAGAGCCTTGGCCTGGGACTCAGGAGACAGGAATTCTATTCTTGACTCCACTGTGGACACACTGGGTTACCTTGGTTAGGGCATTTCAATTTTTTGTGCCTCAGCTTCTGTTTCTGTGACATCCCTTTTTTAAAGTGTTCCGAGGTCAAAAGAGGAAAAGCAGTACTTAAGTAGGAATAGTTATAGTCTATCTACTCAGAATTAAGGCACCAGAGGAGAGAAGCATCCCTCCATTATTTAAAAGATGCCATGTTTCCTTGTCTGCAGAAGAGCACAATTCCCCTATAGGAATCCCTTTTCTTTTTTACTTTAAAGCAGAGAATTATTATGGAAAATGATTAAGCACCCACACAGTCAAAATGACAGAGCATCTTCATTACTGATTGGCAACACCTCTGCTGCCCTAATTTAGGTACCACATGTCTTCATACATTCAAATTAGTAAAAACAAAACAAAAGCTAAACTGGTTTGACATTTGCAGCAAAAAAACTAAAATCATGTCAGAACATTAAAAATCTCCCAATTCTTGGCCCCACTTCTAGATATAAAACAAAACCAAATGTAAAAATGCAGAGTCTTATAGCAAAGTGTTCACATACACTTAAAAGATTATGATGATTGGGGAGTACTGGAATCACAGTGAATTGAAATTCTGCAATTTCCACTGACAAAGTCTTGATCCCAAACCCTGCAGACAGAAATGGCCCCCCAAGATTGTACTGTATCTGAATAACAAAGTGGTCCATAGGCAAAGCAACCTGGAAATAGGTGAGAAAGATGAGAACTGAGAGGT